AAGTTGAATTATATATCCCCTTAAATATTAGTAAGGGGCCTTACTGAATCCTCTAAAATCCATCACTGTGCAGGAACCAAATATCATTTCTGTAGTTTTCAAGGGGTATCAAAGCCCAACAAGAGGTTTTTGAGATATGGGTTAACAAACTTTTGACTAATTAGCTTGACCTCCTTTGTTTGGACAGCCATATCTCCTGACGTAAAGCACTGACAGAGATAAAATTTACATCATTTTAAAGCTCTTAAAATGGCCTTTTTTTATTCATAAAATAAAATAAAATAAAAATCCTACGTACTACCCAAAATTATGCAAATATTTTTCAAATGCGTAATTTTTTAAAGTGTTAACTTATAAAATGTAACCAACATTTCCAGAGAGATTTAGGATGGGTACTGTGGAGATGGATTTGCATTGGACAAGGCTGCTGTGAACAGCCTCTTGTGGTAGCAGATATGGCTCTGTGGGTGCACCCAAAGGTGTAAAAAAAGATGTTGCAGTGGGAAATGTTGTGCAAATACTGTTCAAATGACTCTCGCAAAGCACTATTTGTAGCATTTGGCTGTAATTCCAAATTTGGCCACAATATGTTGTCTTTCTCAAAAATCAAAACTTTCAGCCACGAAGTTGTTCAAACCCCTTGTGGATTTTGAAGGGCCCAAGAAAATCAGAGTTAAATACAAAAGATCATTAACACCATATGCGCTGCCACTTCGGCTATGGCCAAGTTCAAACCAGCAGTTAACAATAGTTGCTGATCTAGCTTGACATTAGTTAACTATGAATCCTTTCAATTCCTGCCAAAAATCAACAAGTTCCAAGGCTTGGTTGGCATTAGAACAAGTAGGTATGATTGCCACATTTTCAAGGTCAGCAGATTTATGGCATGTTTTTTTTTCCTGTTCCGATGTCAAGTTTCCAGGAGTTTGTTTGAAACAATACGCTACCTGTATGACTTCGGGGGTGACATGTTTCAAGTCCACGTCGTCTGGTCTGGTGATGAGCTGGCACAGGAAAGAACCCTTGGGATTGGGGATGTTGGCAAGCTGACCCTCGGCCATGTCCCAAGCTGACCGAGTCAGGAAAGTCTCAGCCCGCCCCAGCTCCACGATCACCTGGCCCAAGCCGCAGGCGCCGTCCATGAAGAAATAGTGGTTGATGATGTCTGCAAGCTTGGTACTGACGAAATCCTGTGATGAGAGAGAGATACAGAGGAGGGAGTATAAGTTTCAAGATGCTCAAACAGTACTTGAGGTCCTCATAATACAGGCATGCAAATAGTAAGTGGCAAAAAGCGCCAAAGTCAGTCCTGAACGAGGATGCTTGCTTTACATTCACAACGATCGATAAAAACGACCTGCAGTGTTCACAGATCGATGTAAATCTTGAAGGATTAAAGACTAATATGGTCAAGTAGGTATGATCGTCGTGGAGTATGACTCACGAGTTCATGGACAGATGGACAGTCCAATCTATCCATGCACGAAATTCTCGGAAGTAGCAACTCACTTCCCTCAAAACGAGTCGGTGCTAAAAACTTGGCGTGAATTGGAAACTCACCAGAGGCACGCTTTTATTCCATGCAAGGCCACTGGCCGTTGCAAAACCGGGGAAGCTGATAGTGGGCTGGTTGATGTGCATGGATCCCGCCCAATCCGTGACCAGCAGACCCATGGCACAGGGAGAGAGGGCAGCTGATTGGACAGCATTGTGAATGTTGTTCATGGCCGCCTCTGGACAGCCAACAATGCTGAAATAGATTACAAAAGGAGTTAATTTTTCATCTTTAACTTTGTTCATGATGAGTCTGATAAATGAAAGTGATTCTTAATCGTAAGAACGACCAACGGGATACAAAAGAATGAGGCTTTTTTGTTACAGCGCATTATAGCAAACAGTCTGTCCGCGCAAGCCACACAGTACCGTTTCCTGAATGAGGACACAGCAATTTTTCATCTTTTTTGGATGCATGTAATTTAGCTGGACGTTCTCTGTGTGTGAATAGCACAAAGTCATTTACGTGTTTCCAAATACATCTGAGTTTCCCTAGACATCTGTTTCCTTGCTCTGTGGTTTATGTATGATATCAAACAGCATAATGTGCACCGTGAAGTTCAAGGGCGTTCTTTTGAAGCAAAATGTTTGATGTATTGTGACTTAAATGGGACAGACGACACAAATTTTCAGGAATACAGCATTTATATACGGTGTACCAATTATGCTGGCCGATCACTGTCACTTTACTGAAGGCACAATATTTCTGGAATCAACAAGACAAGCACAAAATGCACACATTCAGACAAAAATCAGCCTGATACTCTGAAATCATTATGATACTGTTTATTGCAAGAGTAATAAAATGAACCCCAGGTGGTAGTACATATGGAAATGTTGCCATCTCAAAATACATGAACTTGAATATGGTCTTGTATGATGTTGTGATTAGAATAATACAACCCTGTATGGAAAAACGAAATGAACAGTGCCCTGTTAATATGGAAGGGCTGCGTAGCACCGTGATCAGAATATCGACAAGAATATAATATCAAATCAGTGCTCTGAAATATGTGATTGCCGAGCTTTGAATCTCTGAGTTCTAAATCTGCTTGCCCTGAAGAAGGTACTCAGTTACCCAAAGCTCGGCAATCACATATTTTAGAGCACTGATTTGATATTAAATTCGTGCCCTGTTAATAATGGGAAAGGTACAATCAACACATGGAAAAATCTTACTTGCACTTTCTGACTTACCTGTCCCACGCAGCAGTCCCGGGACAAACCATGAAAGGCATTCTGAAAAAACAAACACATATGTACAATGACAGAGTTGATGTTTTTTTCACGGATGCACAAAAGGTACGTCCAAATTTTGTCATCACCGTCTGTAGTTATGCGAGTACTTATTTCGACGGTTAGGACTACCAAAGGGCATTGATGGGCTTACCCTGCCTCTGTGAGAGCCGTGCATGCCACACTGTAGTCATAATCAACCTGTGAAATATCAATAATGGATGAATCATTGGCAGCAATAAAGCAACCTACGCAAGTTGACTTTGACCATGGGAAGTGACCTCTTTGAGGAAAAGGCTCTGTGGTACAATGAAATACAAATCAGTTGCAGTGAATGTGTGTGATTCATCGCAAAGGAGCTCAAGTCTGCTTCAACTCCTACCTCAGCACCACACTAAGCCTTGATCTATCTGCAGTCATACTGACCAGTCTACTGGTGACCATTCAGAGAATGGTTTGTGGGTGACAAGGACCCTAGACTGACCGTTAGGGGCTGCAGACTGTTGTTACAGGTCAATCGCATGCCGCCCACTGAACTACAACCCATAATATATCTGGTGTGATAATTCCAATGTAAGCACATGTATGCAAGTCACAAAACACAATTGAATGCTGTGACTTGTTCCATGGCTTTTTTTCACACTGAAGATTATTTTCATTTGGCTTTACAGCATGACAGTAACTCGGCATAAATTCAATGTGGCTATTTGCCAACACAAATCAAAACCGAGATGTCTTTCCTGATATGACCCAACCTGAAAACATGTGTCAGAGGTTACCACAGCCATGTTTGCATTTACGACTTTAAAGAATCTTGCACGATGAAAATCTATATGAATACTAAAGTTTTCCACTCACAAATTTAACTCAATCAGAATGCCAGACTGAATGGCACAAGATAAGAAAAGGCGGTCTAATCTTTCTAAAGCAAGCTAAAACCCTATTACTGAAACAAAATATGGTCTTCAGGCTCATTGTTTGGATTCAAACACTGTGTTTAAAAAAAGAAAGAGCACAAATCATGGCGGAAGTACAAATGTACTCTTTGCATTTGTAATTTGTGACCCAGCACATCGTAATCAGGAATAAGTTGCCGAGGCCATTTTACATAATGGCCAAGTAAAGTAGGGATATGGGTGAATGTTGAAAAAATTGATGTGGCGGTTTTTGTATATTTTGGAAGTGTATGTATGAAAGGTTACCGTCCACATATGTACCATATGAATATAATATGTACTTTCTGAAAGCTTATAAAATTCTCTTTCCGACCACATACATATCTCAAAAAAGTCAATGCGCTGGGTCACAAATTACAAATGCAAAGATTCCCAGAACAGAAATCAGTACAAGTTGCAACTGGATTCCAACATTCAGTGCTGCGCTTACCTTGCATCCGTAGTGCATTGCCACACTACCCACAGGTAGCTTTGCAACAATCTCCGCATTCAAGTCCACCTCGTTGGCACAGAACCGCACGCAGTGGCTGTCCTTGATGCCCATCAGGCGCAGACGGTCCTGCATGTCCAGCTGGGCGATGTGCGAGGCACCAGCGGGGCTGTCCTCCGAGGGGGTCAGCAGCTTCTTGGTGAGAGTGGCACCAATGTTGACCGAGCTAGGGGTGTGAGATGGGGACAGAGGCCTTCACCATGATGAACGATGATGAACATCAGAAGCAAGAACAACACAGATCATGTGCCAAGTATTAAGACTGCATTTTTTAGTTTACTATACATAAAAAAATTATTAAGCAGGGGCTGTCAAGGAATGAACAAAATCCTTTGTTCTGGTCACAAGGAACCATTTCCTAAAAAGCAAACCAACTTAATGTTTGTTGGAGAAAGAAAAAGCATCAACAACAACCCCCCCCCAAGTCATAACTTCTGGTGTAGCATGATGGTCACAGAGGGCAGGTAGAACAAGGTCAGCTCTTTTGCCTGGCTAAATGTGTTCATATACTACCAGCTTTAACTTCACAGGACACACTAACAATGCCGGTTGATACTATAAACATTCTAGTATTGAATGAAGAGTTCTGGGCAGTTCCTTCAATCCTCCCTCCAAGTCAAACATTCTGTCTGTGTGCGTATGTGCATGGCTAGAACATACAGTGTGGCATTGGAGAAGAGCATGTGTTGAGTGACCACTGGGGGCTTACTGGATCAGTCCACCTGTCTGACACGAGTAGAAGACATCATAAACTCCTACATGCTTGGTGCCATAAAATAATGTGACGATATTCCACGTGACACCACTCATCACCTCCCGTTACCGGGTTAGTGAATATTACCAAAGTTCAACTCTGACCTTGTCGACCCGAACGAAGTCAGAATCTGCTTGAACATCTCCATCTGCTTAGGAGCGAGTTCCGTCTTGGAATGAATGTCTAAATGAGGAATGATGTCCATGTATCGCCACCGTGAATAAATCTCTAGATCCAGAAGCTCACTGTGGAGGCATGCAAAAAAAACCAAAGACAGCCATTAAACTTGTGAAAAAGCTCACGACAGAGATGCAACTGAAGTCAACAAAATGAGTTAAAGATGGACTGATAATACCCCTCAAAATGCGTTATCAGGGTGCATATGTTCTGTATGCATAGGTTGTACAGGTTGTCCATTTAAATGTACAGGAGTAAAATGCGGTGAACAGATATAAATACCGAACGGACCCAAAAGTGTACACACGGAGAGGTACCCTGACTCTCCTAACACACTTCTCTCTACTCTTCATTTTGATGCAACACTAAATTTCACGTCCTCTTGAACGTGTGAGTGGACAATATTGACATTTCCTCTTGGTTTCCATTTGATAAGATTGATTAAAAGGTCCTTCTCCCTAACTCCCTCAACGTTCTTACTGAAACCTTCCTGAATCCTCTAAACTCTTCTCATCCACAGCAAGCTGATGGCTTATTTTCCATTCTTAAACTTTCAAAGAACATCAAGTCCGGGTTGTAATGAAATGCTGATGGGCGTGGCCTGTTTCAACCCTTGAAAATCTGCTAAAACCACTTGAAGGACTTGTAGGATATTGAAGGATCTGGGGGGCTAGGATTAACAAACAAACAGCCTTGGTGACTCGCCACATTTTCTGCATTCGGATCAATTCACTGCGCTAGAGACTTTTGCAAAAGGTTTGATGTGAAATCTGCTTTGCATTTCCTTTCAAACTGAAGTTTACTTGATGTTCCCTGGTACCCACCTCTCAGAGTACGGCATGATTCCTTCAACTTCCTCCCCTTCGACGCTTTTCATGTACAGATGAAGCTGGGATTTAGAAAATTGAGAGAGAAAAATGAAGTAACTTTTTCGGTAGATCTCTAGATGATAACGTCCAAACAACAAATCTTGAATATTACTTTGTTTTTTGTATCATTGAAACCTCTGCACAAAATGGTTCAAAGCTGGGCAAGTTTGAGCAATGACCATTTGTCAACCACTGGTCAATTTCCCCTGGTAACGAGTGCACAAAGTATATCCTGGGTACCATGCAAAATTGATCAGTGGTGGATAAAATGTTCTTTGCTCAAACCTGCTCCTGGATGACACAGCGATTTAGTCAGACACAAGCTTTCTGATGCTAGAATTTGTAGCGGTATTAAATAAACTGATTCTGTATTAAAACAGCTTCAATCAAAGGCTTATACATACCTCATTAAACTTCAGAAGGGTTAATATGTTGACAAGGTGCATCAGGAAATCCTGAAAAAAAGAAAAAATAAAGAGCGATTTATGGAGTACAAAAAGGGTGAGCAGTTTCTCTCGACCACTAAAAATAGGTGTGCTAAAACCTCAAAATAAGTACATAAAAATGTAAACTAGAAAAAAAGAAAGAAAAGAGGAAGATTTGTATCATCTTGAAATATTTCTTGGATACTCACTAATTTAGGCACCCTCCCACATGAGATGTCTAAGGACACGCCCCTGTATCGAAGATCAGGCCAGTCTGAAATCTGAAAAGAGACAAAGTATGAATACTTTCCATTTTCTGCTTTTGCGTACATGTTTACCACACCTAAATGAATGATATGAGATTCAATCCCATTCATCAACCCCCATTGACCACTTAACACCGGTGGCAGTTATCAATGTTGATGATGTTGGGGCGGGAAAATTATAATTTTTTTCTGTTTTAAATATTCCTATCTTCATTTACTGGACACTTACACTGTCTGGTTTCCTACTCTAATCAGACAGACATCATCTATTGATGCTGGAGTATTTCGGTCAGGCCTGCTGCCTTGTAAAAAGAACCCAGATGTGCGGTGTTACATAATTTTCTTTTGTTCACAAACCTGACACAGTGCGCTGCTGACCTCTTTTCAATAGGAGCCAGATTAGCGTGCAGCGGTGCTGTGTGGCTCATCGCTGCGGCAGTGGAGCGCTGTTGTCCCCAGTGGTAATCCGCTCGCGCTAAATCCCCAAAACCGTGGTAGACTGTTTCAAAACAAGGCTGGATTATCTCCACGATTGAGAGTGAAAAAATGTTGGTAATGCCCAGCAGCCTGGTCTTTTGCCCCAAGTACGGTCTTTTGTTACAAGGCCCAGTTCCCTTTGTCCGATTTCCGAGACCCCGGCCACACGTATAAAGAATACGTGTCCCGTACCGGAAACCCCAGCAGCAAGTGGTTAAGATCAGCAGCAGAGTGGCTGAGACATCTATACTAGTTTTTTCTCACAAGTTTTCAGAACACAGGACCTGAAATTTAACAGGCAAAAAACACAACAACAACTTTTAAAATTTGAATGTCACAGCGATACTACTAACCTGCACTGCTGGAATACCATCCTCGTTGAAGAGTCGGATGAGCTGTACCACTGTACAACTGGCATTCCACAACCCACTGAAGTCTGAACACTGGATAGTCATCTGAATCCAACAGGAGAGCAACAAGGGAATACACGTTTGAGATGGTGAAATTACACAAGTCTATTTACAACAAATGGGTCACTGAGCCCAATTTCACAAGCCTGCTAAGCTGACAATACGGTGCTAAGCACCTTTAGACCGATGATTTCCCCACTCTACAATTATCCATTTTTCATTTGACATTTTCTCAAATCTGTTCACTGGCAGATAAAAAGGGAGGGGATCGCAATGGAAGCCTACTACATGTACCTCCCTCCAGGAGAATTTTTTCATTTACCCAAAGTTTAGTCTCATTCTCACCCCTCAGACAGGCTATAACAAATATATAAAAAAAAAAAATTCCCCCACCCCCCAAAAATCCTTTGGTTTGGGATTTTGCATCGTCACTCCTGTCAACTGGAAATGGCTAGATGATCCTGCACTAAGAATTAAATCAAACAAATTACCAAAATGCAACTGGGATCAGTCATTTCTCCACAGACTCCTGTTTTTATTCCCACGCGCCATATCCCTTAACAGCACAAATTCTAAGGTCTCCTTTATGAGTTGAATAGTGTCCATTGTAGGCTGAAGCAGAAACATCACCAGTGCTGCAGAACACCTTCAGAGGTTTTCTTACCTGTTTGTCGGCGACACTGATCCTGTACTGTTCTTTGCCCGTGAAGAGATTGGGAACGTACTGGCACAGGATGTAGGGGTCTGGGTACTCTTTCCTGACGGCACACTCCAGGATACACTTGAAGCCCATGTCTCCTAAGATGGGTCCGTGTATACTCCAGATGTCCACCATCTGCTGTAGATAATCTAAGTTGGGGGGGAACAAACACAGAAAAAAAATAACATTTATAATCTCAAATTGTACAAAATCGAACACACTGACAAAACTTCATGGATTGGGTTTTTATTTTTTGTTCTAAACACAAGCTCGCCGTGAACCAGTTTAAATCAATAAATACTGCAGAACGTCTTGGCTGGTATCCAACTTTTGATAAACAAATACTTTAAGTAGTGCCAGGCTACATCTATTTTGTTAAAACCTGGTGTGTTTTGTCTGGACAGGTAACAACATGATTGAAATTGAAAAGCTCACTTATCAGTGACTAGAGAGAGAACGTACCACTGCTTGCTGATGGCCCGGCGGCTACCCGGACAAGGAAATGGGGCTTGAGTTTGAGTGGGTTCCCCGTCTTCTTGACCATGCTCTGTGGTTTGGGCCAAATGAGCTGGAACTTTTCATCAGTTACCGGACTAGTCTGTGAGTGTCTGGCATGCTTCTGTGTAGTCAGTAGTTCCGACAACTTCTGTTTTTAAATTAAGGGAGTATAAAAAATAATTCCATTATATCAATCAACAAGTAATCCGTGAAATAAATTTTCTGTGAGAATTGCAGCCTGGTAGATTACACAGTGATGCAAATTCTGGGTATAACACACTTCATACGTATGTACGCTAGTTCACAGAGGCTGGAAAGATGTACACATCTCTCGTTGTGCAAATTTGTTAAGTTTTTGTGTGAATGCAGGCACACAATGCCAGTGGTGCTCCAGTGTTTTGCCAATCTCTCTCTTAAATGTCTTTTTTCTAATTCATGTGGAGGCAAGTCCAGATCTCGAATCAAACTTTCAGGGAGGTGACGATAAATTTAGGGGCAGCTTGAATGTTTTGAGAATGTAGCGAAATGAAACAGTCTCCAGAAAAACCACCTTTCTCTCATCAAAGTTTGAAAACAAAAAAATTTGTGCCTCTTTCTAAAACCATGGCTCTGCGGTCACCTTGCTTCAACCCCAATAATGACAGAGAACATGTGCACTGTGCGGGTTATGAGCCCAGGGCATGTTAAGGGTGTGTTTGGTTTGCTTTCCAAAACAGCAGAGGAAGGCCGTCTCTCACCTGTTGCACGTCTGTGTCCGACATTGGAGTCAGCGGCGTAAGTGGAGAGATGGGCTTGGACTTGGCAGCTGGCTTTGCTGTTTCTGGGGAAGAGATGAAAAATCAAGAAATGCAGATTGGTGATAGGAGGGGGAATTCATAACTTTGCAAATAATGAGCAGAAGTTTTGCGCTGGCCAGGGTCTCTGAACTCGGACAAAGGGAACAGAGCCCTGTAACAAAAGACTGTACTCTGAACGAAAGATCAGGCTGTTGGGCATAAGCAACATTTTTCACTATCAAAAGTGGACATGATCCAGCCTTGTTTTGAAACCATATACCAGGGTTTGGGGCATTTAGAGCGAGTGGATTACCACCGGGGACAAAAGCGCTCCACCATTGCAGTGATGAGCCACACGCTAATCTGGCCCCTATTGATAAGAGGTCAGCAGCACACTGTGGCAGGTTTGTGAACAAAAGAAAGTTGGATAACACTGCACAATCTGGGCTCTTTTTACAAGGCTGCAGGCCTGGCAGAAATACTCAGGTCCAATTAAAGTCACCTATCAACTTAGAGTAGTGCCTAAAGATTACTTTGTGCGGCTATAAACGTCCGTTAAATGAAATGATGAATTTTTGAAGAATTTTGAAAAATGGAAAAAAAATGATAATAATGCAAGCCCAGCGTCATCACCATTGATAAATATCCCGGCGCTAAATGGTTAAGATGTTCAATTAACACTGCTGTCAAATGTGCATGGATGGTATGCAGTAAGCAAAGAACTCTGCTGGGTGGCGTATTGAGGCTACAGACATAAGCATCCAAAGGTCCAATTTGTAAAAAAAAAATCTCGATTGGTTGAAGGCTAGCAAAAATGGTTTGTCTAAACAGATTTAGCCGTAAAAGACATGGAAATCAATCTATGGGACAGTCTAGGCATGCCCAAATATACATATTTGACTTAGCGGAAATGTTGGCAAAGGTCTAATTAATTTTCCTAAAACATGTTGCTTCTTAAATGTATTTAGTTTTCCACATTTCTGTGTTACCACTGAGTGGACGCTCTCACAAACCCACCCAAATACTTTAAAAGATCTGTAGATACGGAATTACTGACACACCGTGAAGGATTGCCTCAGAAAGTTGAAGTTGAGAGATCGTACCACTGGCTTCCTGCACAGTGGTGGATTCTGGGAAGATTCCAGCAGGATCCAAGCCGAAATGTAGAGATAGCTCGAATGAATCAACCCTGACTCGTCATGAAGAGAACTTTTCCAACTTTTGTGCAGCCATGTTCAAACTTGGAATCCTGTTCATAAGAGCATGCCGCCCTGCGGCCAGATATTTCAAACCAAAAAAGCGCTATCATTATCTTGTTATCCCCTTGTCTTTCAGAGTGTGGGGACAGTTGGCTTAATACTTACTAACATCCCCATTGGCAAGTTTAAGACCATCAAGCGCTCTCTTCAATTTTGGTTTGTCTTCCGCTAAGGAAATGGGCGTCTTGTCTGCAAACTTCCTGAAAAGGTAACAAAACAGACACACAGTTACTCCCTGAATGCATAAAAAGAGAACTCAACTGTAAATATCAGAAGGAAATATAAAAACTCGACCTCAAGAAGTAGGTCTATTCAAATGGAAGGATTACCGGGTAGATTACCAAGTGGAAGCCTGGGTAAAACTGACTGATAGTTTGTAGACTGTTGCGATGATGGTCATTGCTTTTTTAGAACATCATGTGGGTTAAAGGCACATTTCCCTCAGTCATTTACAGTTTCAGTGTACAGTGCGCCACTCAAGTCCAAAAGTTAAGAGCTGTGACTGCCCATACAGGAAACCAAATCTGTAGCAGTGGGATCTTTGATTGCCTTGGGCTTTCCCCCGAACACGTGATCATTCTTGGGCAATGAAATCACAGTGTTTGAGATATGACTTAAGGGAATGACAATTAGGGAGTAACTGTTTATTCCCTTAAGACCAGATCAGAAAAGTATACATTGATGAGACATAAAGTCAGACAAAAAAAAACAAAAACTATAAATTTCCTGTTTTGTTTTACAATTTACTTCTCTTTTAAATATGAACATACCTCTAGCTTTATTATATGTACCTTTGCAAGTAGTTGTAAATGATCTCCTTCTATGGAGATTGGCGTGCACGTGGTGTGTACTAGATGAGGTGGCATGGAATGAATTCTATAAGCTACCGTAGCATGAATTTGGGACTGTCATTAAGATGCAGACTAATTGTACTGTGGTCTTGGGAAAACCTAAGTGAAGATTGTGAAGATTCAACTAATACAAGGGTACAGAGACCAGATTTCATGAGTCTGAATTTCACGTGAAACCAGAAAAGTGTTCAAGCTGAATCAGCCAATCCTTTATCAGCCATATAAGACCGGCCAGGAGACAGGCTCTCAACCAATAAGGAAGGAACCGTTTCATGGTACTCGTGAATGGCATGTTACTGTCCATGTTCCCCGCAGAATTCCAGAATCATACTCACCCTTTCTTTGCCTTAGCCTTCCGGTTGGCTCCACCGGCGACAAGTTCATAAATGATTCCCTCATCTCCCCTGGCTACCGCATCGTGCAAAGGTGTCGCCCCATCTACGTTGGCTGCATTGATATCTGCTTTGTTTTCTGGGGTGTGGAAAAATATCACAAATTTTAAAACCCAGGCACCAAATGTCTTCTTGAAGCAACTTGCTATGTACATGTAACAAATTTTAAATAAAGCATCGATGATACACCAGGGTATTGTCTTTCTTAAAAGTTTCTTAGAATTTGTTATTTTTACTTTGTTTAAAAGTTGGCCGAAGCTGTGATTTGTACATAGCCAGCTATGTGTTAATAACGGAATTACCAAACTACATGTAGAGGAAGGTTGCCACATTGCTATAATGAAATGAATCTGTTCATGGTTTAATTTTGGGGGGAATTTTTCTACGCAGGGGTTAAGACTTGTCTCAGTCAATATGATGTGAATATCAGAGATGGACAATCATCGCTTGCAGAAAGGAGGTCTGGAACTTCCTCAAAACAGATGACTGTCTTTTGTAGATAGAATGCTGTTCATCGATAGGTGTTCCTTGATTCTGAGGCCTACTGAACTGAACTGAGGCCTACAACTGCAGAGCTTGTCATCATCAGTCTAACCATGCTACCCTGAATCAACTGATCAAATTGGTGCTAATATCGCCTACCTCGGTACGCCAGACTCCACGCACAGACAAACTACTCACCGAGTAGGAGTTTGACCGTCTCCCTGTTGCCATAGGATGCAGCCCAGTGTAGCGCTGAGTTACTGGTTGCCGCGTCGTCTTCGATGTTCACATCAACTCCTGCTTTCAGCAGATTCCTGGCTAAGGCCACACTGAAACCGTAAGAATGCAGATGTGGTGAGAACTGCAATGTCCATGAATTTGTGCAGAGTGGCCCTGCTTTTAGTTTGAATCCATGGAGTATTAACCCTGGCCTACCCAACTGCTCCAAAGTCCTGCAAGTGGTTCTGGAAGATTTTGGAGGATTTAGGCTCAATGGCCAAAATATATGGCTGACTTTGAAGGATTCAATACATATTACAGGAAAATTCCGACGTGGCAAATATAGGTATTCGTGTTGAGGCTCCACAACGTAAGAGATGCTTCTGGACTGCAGTGTCGCATCGGCCACATTAAGGCCAATGAGGGGCTTGATGTGTGCGACTCACTTGGATTGGGCTACCGCCTGCAGCAGTACATCGTGGTACACTCGCGTCACCTGATCTGAAAATGAACTCTCGTACGCTGTGACTCCTTCCTCATCAAGCACTGATGGGTCTGCACCAGATATCAGGAGGGCACGCACGACATCTGCATTACCCAACTGGAACAAGACAAAATATAAGCAGGCTCTTTATGTTTAATACAAGGAAACAATACACTGTCAAAACATAGGAACCTTTTGCAAGATACCTGCGAACATTTTTTTCAGCATGGTTGTATATGTTTGTAACATCTTTGTGTCACAATTCAATGCCAAATTGAGAAAGGAAAATATGACTTGTAAATATGACATAAAGAGGATTAACCCAAACATGCACCATTGGTTCAAGCACAACGGTGGACTTTGGAGGATTCAGCAGGATTTCCGGCAAAAATGCCAAGTCAGACTTCAAAAATAACAATCGAAAAAGGATCCAGGAAGGAACTACCCGTACGCACATGTACATGTATGTAAATGCACTTTTTCCATGCATTTGTAAATTGACAACAACCAATCAAGCATTTCAAGCGATCAACAGATTCAGTTAATACCTTTGAGGCTAGGTGCAACATGGTTCCCTGACCAGGGGTGATGTTATTCAACACAGCATCCAACTGGGTGTCTCGCTTGGGCTCCCGGTGCTCTAATACAACAGAAAGGGGGCAAACTTGTTATTTTCAAGCAGCAATATTTCCCTTTCTGTCTGGGTGCAGAACAAACATGACAGGCAGGTACCCTTTGTGAATTTTGTTATTACCGTCATAAATTGCTAGTGGAAACTTTATTCCCACTAATGTCAAAGGTTTCATAAAACTACAGGTTTACATGTACTTCAAGGTTGATTAACTTGGCGGAGGCAGCAGTAAACAGTAAAATTCACACGATGAAAGCAGCTGCTGGACACTGAAGTTAAAATTGCACATGAAGCATAAAGCTAACAGCTACGATGTACCGCAGCATTCTCGAGACTTCATTTTTACTGGAAAAGTTGGAAAACACTTCTCATTAGAACCCTTAACCCTAAGCTTCCCCAACCACACAGAATTAAACAGTAGTAAAGTGTTTAATTCTGTGGGGATAGGTCTGGTAGGCCCCATAACAGCTGGCTTTTGCATTGGGTTTGGCATACATGTACCTCAGAAAAACTAAGTCCAACAGCCTCTGTGCACACTGTCCCATATGGGTGTTTAACTTTGTGTGAATGGGGAAGGTTAGGGCCAGCAACCCTTGGGGGGTTAGGGTTAAAAAGAGATTACACTAGCTTAATCAGTGCAGGACAGTATTCACAATCTTTTGAAATAAATGATGTTTCCCTAACCATGTTTTTCTCAATCATGTTACATATAACAACTGCAGCATGTCACTGCCTTAATATCGCATGCACGCATTTGTGTAATTTATCAGGTTTGGGAATTTATTGACAACAAAAGCAGTTCAATGGTGTAACACTTAGATTGGATGGCAATCTGATAAAGTTCAAGAATCAATCCACAATCATTGTTTTTAACCGGAGGCTAAAAAAAAAGTACCTTTCAAATAAAGATACCCACACATAATAAAGCACTGAAAATTTGTAAACTGAATTTGTCACACGAATCAAGCATTAACCCTAACTGCCAAGCATATTGTTTGGCTTACAGTACTCAGTACTACAAATTACTAAGTAATAGCCTGAGCCTGAAGGACCTAGCGTTACAAATTAATACTTCTGGCCAAAGTTACTTCCATTGCTACTCGCACAGAGAACAATTAATCCATGCATTCATAGTGCCACAGCACTGTATGGTACATTGTCTTATCTATTGTATTTTATGGCTTCAGAGAACAATAAAGTCATGTCCTCTTACAAGCGACTGCGCTCAGTGCTACATTTTACTACAAGTAGTAATTTGTAGTATTATGTAGGGTTAGGGTTAAAGAAGGGATGGTAAGAGGCTCACATCTATATATACACATGAAGTCTGGAATATTCCAGGCTCATAGAGTAACATTCGTTGATTCATACTTAGCATAAATGCAAGCAGGTGGAGAAACCATAATGTCAGATCAATATTCATGTTGCAAATTACCTCCAGCAACGTTGAACACATTTCAATTCATGTGAATTTACCAGGAGCTACAAATCTTTTGTGACATGAGATTTGCTTGGTTTTTGCATTCGACAGCTTCTACTGATCTTCTGGTGCTGAAAAACTCAGTTAATCCATTAACAATTGCTTTGGATAACTTGATAAAACCTGTCTTCATCTGAGTACAAATTGCATATACGTTTATGTCTAAATGTATGAAAGCAAATGTGGAGAAAAGGCAACAGGTGTATAAACAAAGAGCAGCTGAACAGTAAACTACAATGCATGTTTCCATGGTCAAATGATATGCAACACATTTTGTGCTTACTAATGCAAAAACCTTACATCAACCCCCCCTAACACTCCCAAATCCTCCAATTTCAATACGATTTTACATACACCCTAGGGGGTTAGGGTTACCCAAGGGTGTATGTAAAATCGTACCCTAACCCCAAGGATGTATGTAAAATCGTATCTTAACCCCTAAGGGTGTATGTAAAATCGTATTGAAATAGGAGGATTTGGGAGTGTTAGGGTTAAAAAAAAAAAAAAACCTTGAACTGATGACGACAGTGAAGACACAATTACATTCAAGTTGTGGTGTCTTGGTGTAAATTGCACTTCATTACTTGACTTTCCAAACCCTAAAAGTGAAATATGGCATATAGCTTTTCTAATTCAATTTTTTTAAAACACAAGTAAGTTGGCAGTATTGTACAAACAAGTTAGGCAGACCCGTTTATGAGGTGGGGACCGGAGGTATTGGTGGCTGAAAAAAGTTACACTGAATGGCCTCTATACCCAACACCGTGCGGAACTGGTCATGATCGTTGTACTGTAACTGTGTTCTGCTGTATAAGAGAGGTGAGTCCCTTTACAAACAAAACTTCAATATGAACAGTGCCCGAGTTATACAACAGAATTAACTCAGAAGTGCAGATTTTCTTTCGTTTTGCTCAACGCAGTAAAATTGACGTTTACCACGAACGCTGAACTACACAAAAAGCCCAAGTTAGCAAGGTGGCCTGCATGTACTGTAAATGTGCTTGGCTGTACACATGCATGCAACAAGCATCTCACTGACATTCTGGGCTGCAAGGACCATAATGTCAGTGGCATAAT